TCACAATAGCCAATATATGGAAACAACCTAAGTGTCCATGTATGGATGAATGCATAAACAAGATATAGTGTGTGTGTGTATACACACACACACACCAGAACATTATTCAGCCATGAGAACGAAGGAAATCTTACCACTTATGACAACGTGGATGAACCTGGAGGACATCATGCTAAGTGAAATAAGCCAGAGAGAGAAAGACAAGTATTATATGATCTCATATATAGAATCTAAAAAAATTAAAAAGTGAAATTCATAGAAGCAGAGAATAGAATGTTGTTTACCAATGGCTAGGGGAAATAGCAAGATATTGGTCAAAGGGTACAAAGTTGCAGTTATGTAGGATGAATAAGTCTAGGGATCTAATGTACAGGCATGATGACTACAGTTAATAACACTGTATTGAATACTGGAAGTATGCTAAGAGAGTAAACCTCAGGTGTTTTCATCACACATACACAGAGAAAAGGTGACTATGAGAGGAGATGTTATATTAGTTAGCTTGACTAATCATTTCACTATGTATATATACATCAAATCATCATATTATATACCTTAAATATACATTTACAATTTTTATATTAAAAGAAATATGTATACACACACATATCTACATACAAACACACACACATGCATGCTCTGTAGGAACTCGAGCCCAGGGTTCTGAAAAAAAAAGAATTTCAAAAGAATTCATGACACCAAAAAAAAAAAAATTTACCAATTTTGATAACTGCAGTATAGTAACATATTGAAGTATTAAGTAGTAAAGGGACATGATGTCTATAGCTTTTAGTTCAAAAATAATAATAAAATAATTCCGAAAAAACTTATTTATATGTAGCATGTATGTATTTATGAGTAAATAGAGAAAGAATGCTAAAACAAATGTAAAAAAAAAACTGGTGTAACTAGACAAAGGCCATCCAGAAGTGTCTTGTACTATTCTTGAAACTTTCACGTCACACACACACATAAAACCATGATAAATATGGGAGGTGAGGGATATATTAATTAGTTTTACTGTGATAATCATTTCACAAGATATATACCAAACACCAAAACATCACATTGTATACCTTAAATATATATAATTTTTATTTGTCAAAAATAATAGAAATAGGAAAAAAAAAAAAGAAAAAAAAGAAAAAAAAAAGAAATAGGGCTTCCCTGGTGGCGCAGTGGTTGAGAGTCCACCTGCCAATGCAGGCAACGCGGGTTTGTGCCCCGGTTCGGGAAGATCCCACATGCCACAGAGCGGCTGGGCCCGTGAGCCATGGCCGCTGAGCCTGTGCGTCCGGAGCCTGTGCTCCGCAACGGGAGAGGCCACAACAGTGAGAGGCCTGCATACCGCAAACAAAAAAAAAAAAAAAAAGAAATAAAAATTATACCAAAATTAAAAACTCACCCTTGGGACTTCCCTAGTGGTGCAGTGGTTAAGAATCTGCCTGGGGGCTTCCCTGGTGGCGCAGTGGTTGAGAATCTGCCTGCTAATGCAGGGGACACGGGTTCGAGCCCTGGTCCGGGAGGATCTCACATGCCGCAGAGCAACTAGTCCCGTGAGCCACAACTACTGAGCCTGCGCGTCTGGAGCTTATGCTCCGTAGCAAGAGAGGCCGCGACAGTGAGAGGCCCGCGCACCGCGATGAAGAGTGGCCCCCGCTTGCCACAACTAGAGAAAGCCCTCGCACAGAAACGAAGACCCAACACAGCAAAAATAAATAAATTAATTAATAAACTCCTACCTCCAACATCTTCTTTAAAAAAAAAAAAAAAAAAAAAAAAGAATCTGCCTGCCAGTGCTGGGGACACGGGTTCGAGCCCTGGTCCGGGAGGATCCCGCGTTGCCATGGAGCAACTAAGCCCATGCACCACAACTACTGAGCCTGCACTCTAGAGCCCGCGAGCCACAACTATTGAAACCCCTGCTGTGCAAGAGAAACCACTGCAATGAGAAGCCTGCGCACTGCAACAAATAGCCCCCGCTCGCCGCAGCTAGAGAAAGCCCGTGTGCTCCAGCAGAGATCCAATGCAGCCAAAAATAAAAATAAATAAATTTATTAAAAAACAAACAAACAAAAACTCACCCTCTCTGCCTCCCTCCCAAAAAACTATTTAAGTAAAAGCAAAAGAATTGCCTTGATTATATTAGACATTCAACAGTACATTCCTGAGAAAGACGAAACAAAACAGAAAACAGGCAAAGGGTTACATTTTAAAGCACTATTCATTTTATACTTCAAGGTACCATGTAGCTTTGATTTAAAAAGTAACTATCTTGGGGGCTTTCCTGGTGGCGCAGTGGTTGGGAGTCCACCTGCCGATGCAGGGGACGCGGGTTCGTGCCCCGGTCCGGGAGGATCCCGCATGCTGTGGAGTGGCTGGGCCCGTGAGCTGTGGCCGCTGGGCCTGCGCGTCCGGAGCCTGTGCTCCGCGGCAGGAGAGGCCACAGCAGTGAGAGGCCCGCGTACCACAAAAAAAAAAAAAAGTAACTATCTTGGGCTTCCCACGTGGCGGAGTGGTTAAGAATCATCTGCCAATGTAGGGGACACGGGTTCGAGCCCTGGTCCAGGAAGATCCCACATGCCGTAGAGCAACTATGCGCATGTGCCACAACTACTGAGCCTGCGTTCTAGAGCCCGTGAGACACAACTACTGAGCCCACACACCACAACTGCTGAAGCCCGCACACCTAGAGACCATGTTCCTCAATAAGAGAAGCCACTGCAATGAGAAGCCCGCGCACAGCAACAAAGAGTAGCCCTGCTCGCCACAACTAGAGAAAGCCCGCGCTCAGCGGCAAAGACCCAACACAGCCAAAAATAAAATAAAATTTTAAAATAATAAATTTAAAATAAATATCTTTACTTGAATTTTCCATACACTTACGTTTACATGCTTTTTTTAATACACATAATGTCAGCTATAGAACAGATAGCAGAGTGATTAGGGGTGGGGATCTGGACTCATATAAGCATAGGTCCAAATCCTGGCAACACCATTCATTAGCTGGCTAACCTTAGAAAAGTTACTAAGCCTCTCTGTGCCTGAATTTTCTCTTTTTTAAAATACAGACAATAATAGTTCCTAATTCTTAAAATTCTTATGAAGATTTCAAAGGGCAATACCTGAAAAGAACTTAACACACTCAGCATAAGAGTTGTTATTATTTCATCATTTTTAGAAACAAATATCAAAAGAAAATGGTTCTTTTAACCTAAAAGATAATGAACCAAATACCAAATCTCTTGAGATTGAGATTATGACCTGCCCCATACCAATCAAAAAGAAGGCGGAAAAAAAGCTATGAGTCAAAGGGACCAGCTCAGAATGTTTAAACTAAAAATTAAAACGTAAATGAAACATAAAATTCCTGTTTACGACTAGATTATGATGTTAACATATTTTTAGAACAATGTATTAAAGAATCATTTTTACTTGAAAGTATCTTTGTCCAATGAAGATGTTGAAAAAAAAGAAAGAAAAGAAAAAAAAAAAGAAAGTATCTTTGGTTCTGCTTAGTCTACTCAAGTTTTATAAGTTCAATAGGTAAGATTCAGATATTTTTAAAAACATCCTTAATGCCCGTTTGGGTTTCCCTAAGGAAGAACTACCTAACTACATGGACTGTGCATTTGTAAGAGTCATAGTTAACGGAATTTTACTTAGTAATTAAATTATTGAAGGTAAGAAATCATAAATTCTGTCATTTATCAGAAGTTATCAACTCAAAACACCTACATAAGCCAGGCATCAGAAACAGTCAAGTATAAGTCAATAGGGAAGAACTGAGACCACAGCGGCTGGACCTGAAGAGTAAGGACTCACTTAAGGCATGCAATTTCAAGTCTTGTTTTTGTTTTTTTTTAAATATCGTGCCACAGGGAGATCAGCTCGGTGCTTTGTGACCACCTAGAGGGGTGGGATAGGCAAGGTGGGAGGGGGACGCAAGAGAGAGGGGACATGGGGATGTATGTATGTGTATAGCTGATTCACTTTGTTATACAGCGGAAACTAACACATCATTGTAAAGCAATTATACTCCAATAAAGATGTTAATAAATAAATAAATAAATAAATATCATGCCATTTGTGTTCAGGCTGAGTTCAGCTCAGAGATGCACCTGCTTTTACCACTGAATTTCAGAGTTTAAGTCCTTACGACCTTTATGGTATATATCTGTATGCAAACTTGACATTTTATAAAAGATATTAATAAAAAGGAATGTTTCTGAGAATGAATACTCATGAACATCAAAAACATCAGGAAATGTTTCAATGATTTCCAAAAGGCAGTTGTATCATTAGAGCTATCCTAACTTGGTTATCTCTCCCCCTTTGTACTCATAATTAAGATATACTTTTATATGTCATAACATATAAATCTTTAAGATTCCTTACAACTCTGACATTTTAAGATTCCATCACTGGTGGAACAAAATTCCTTCATACTGGTAATAAATATGTAACAACGTAATAACTGCCGCCAAAGTCCAAAGTAATGTTCTTCCACTGGATACCCTAGCATTCGCATTATTATTGTTTTATACTGTTACTCTATTTTTGATACATTTTATATTCTATAAGGTACTTTACATAATGGCAGAAAGCATGTCATTCATATTTTACCCCTATCAACAAGCATTCTGTACTTTCATAGAAAGTGTTCATTAAAAAAAAAACCTTCCATTTCTCAAGATAATAATATGATCTCAAGTTAAACTCTTTCAGATTCTGAAATGAATTGAGTTTTTACACGACTGAAATTACAATTATGCTTTTAAAAATGCTCTACAATTCAGAGAAGTTCTCAGTATCAGTAGCTGATTAACATATAAGCAATAATATTTTTAGATAAATACTGCAATACCTTTATAATCTTTTGATTTGAGAAAATAAAACTTTAAGGATGTTATTTAAGCCTAAAGCTTAGTTTTAAACATTTATTTGAGAGAAAGATAATATGTTATTGGAAAATATTATTTACAATCATTCGGTCTTACCTGAGGATTCCAACTTGGATCTAATTTTTTCACTACAGCAATATACTCCTGCATTGCTCGGCTGGGGCTTGAATCACCAAGTGCTTTCCATGCTTCCCTAAAGTAGAGAATATCCAAAATGACCTATCATTAACTATGTAAGGAACACAAACAGTATATTTCTTCTTTTTATTATTAAAAAAAAGGCACACACATTTTAAGGGTCAGGAGATACAGATATAACAAGCCATATATGAGTAGCCTTCTCTTTTTGCATTTCATTGGTCCACAGCAATACAGACCTTATCACCCAACCAAAGGAGCCCTTTGAGACATTTTTTCCCTAATCACCCTCCCCCGTTAAATTTTAAAATTACACATATACTGCACATCTGCTGAATTTTGGAAGATGACACACTATTATACTATCTAAGATTTTTTTTATTTTTTATTTTTTTTACTATCTAAGATTTTAAAACTCCCCCAAACCCAAATTTCAAACCCCTGTTGAGAATGTATGGTCTACAAACAATAGGAGTAGTTCCCATCTTACGAATTAACTGTGTTTGTGGCATTTCAGTAATAGGTTAACCGTCACACAAAATAATATTCTGTGGGAAATGCTTCAAACTTCTCATTTTAAGATGTGAGAAATATACCTCCCCTTCTGCTGTTATCTCATCTCTAAGCTGCTAGTAGTAGATCCTGAGGCTTTGGGCAGGGACATCAAAAGCAAGGGGAGGAAAAAAAAAAAAAAGCAAGGGGAGGGATTTTTGGTTCTAGGTGGCAGAGTAGAAGGACATGCTCTCACTCCCTCTTGCGAGAGCAGCAGAATCACAACCAACTGCTGAACAATCATCAAGAGGAAGACAATGGAACTCACCAAAAAAGACACCCCACATCCAAAGACAAAGGAAAAGCCACAATGAGACTGTAGGAAGGACGCAATCACAATACAATCAAATCCCATAAGTGCTGGGTGGCTGACTCGCAAACTGGAGAACAATTATACCACAGAAGTCCACCCACTGGAGTGAAGGTTCTGAGCCCCAAGTCAGACTTCCCAACCTGGGGGTCTGGCAACGGGAGGAGGAATTCCCAGAGAATCAGACTTTGAGGGCTAGCGGGATTTGACTTCAGGACTTCAACAGGACTGGGAGAAACAGAGACTCCACTCTTGGAGGGCACACACAAAGTAGTGTGCACAGCGGGACCCAGGGGAAGAAGCAGTGACCCCACAGGAGACTGAACCAGACCTACCTGCTAGTGCTGGAGGGTCTCCTGCAGAGGCGGGGGATGACTGTGTCTCACCGTGAGGACAAGGACACTGGCAGCAGAAGTTATGGGAAGTACTCCTTGACATAAGCCCTCCCAGAGTCTGCCATTAACCCCACCAAAGAGCCTGGGTAGGCTCCAGTGTTGGGTAGCCTCAGGCCAAACAACCAACAGGGAGGGAATCCAGCGCCACCCATCAGCAAACAAGCACACTAAAGTTTTACTGAGCTCTGCCCACCAGAGCAACAGCCAGCTCTACCCACCACCATTCCCTCCCATCAGGAGACATGCATAAGCCTCTCAGATAGCCTCATGCACCAGAGGGCAGACAGCAGAAGCAGGAACTACAATCCTGCAGCCTGTGGAACAAAAACCACATTCACAGAAAGATAGACGTGAAAAGGCAGAAGGCTACGTACCAGATGAAGGAAAAAGATAAAATCCTACAAAAACAACTAAATGAAGTGGAGATAGGCAACCTTCCAGAAAAAGAATTCAGAATAATGATAGTGAAGATGATCCAGGACCTCGGAAAAAGAATGGAGGCAAAGATCGAGAAGATGCAAGAAATGTTTAACAAAGACCTAGAAGAATTAAAGAACAAACAAACAGAGATGAACAATACAATAAGTGAAATGAAAAATACACAAGAAGGAATCAATAGCAGAATAACTGAGGCAGAAGAACGGATAAGTGACCTGGAAGACAGAATGGTGGAATTCACTGCTGCGGAACAGAATAAAGAAAAAAGAATGAAAAGAAATGAAGACAGCCTAAGAGACCTCTGGGACAACATTAAACGCGACAACATTCGCATTATAGAGGTCCCAGAAGGAGAAGAGAGAGTGAAAGGAAAATATGTGAAGAGATTATAGTCGAAAACTTCCCTAACATGGGAAAGGGAATAGCCACCCAAGTCCAGGAAGCACACAGAGTCCCATACAGGATAAACCCAAGGAGAAACACGTGGAGACACATAGTAATCAAACTGGCAAAAATTAAAGACAAGGAAAAACTACTGAAAGCAGCAAGGGAAAAATGGCAAATAACATACAAGGGAACTCCCATAAGGTTAACATCTGATTTCTCAGCAGAAACTCTACAAGCCAGAAGGGAGTGGCATGACATATTTAAAGTGATGAAAAGGAAGAACCTACAACCAAGATTACTCTACCCGGTAAGGATTTCATTCAGATTCAATGGAGAAATCAAAAGCTTTGCATACAAACAAAAGCTAAGAGAATTCTGCACCACCAAACCAGCTCTACAACAAATGGTAAAGGAACTTCTCTAAGCGGGAAACACAAGAGAAGAAAAGGACCTACAAAAACAAACCCAAGGGCTTCCCTGGTGGTGCAGTGGTTGACAGTCTGCCTGCCGATGCAGGGGACACGGGTTCGTGCCCCAGTCTGGGAAGATCCCACATGCCGTGGAGCAGCTGGGCCCGTGAGCCATGGCTGCTGAGCCTGCATGTCCGGAGCCTGTGCTCTGCAACGGGAGAGGCCACAACAGTGAGAGGCCATGTACCGCAAAAAAAAAAAAAAAAAAAAACCAAAGCAATTAAGAAAATGGTCACAGGAACATACATATCGATAACTACCTTAAGTGTAAATGGATTATATGTTCCAACCAAAAGACATAGACTGGCTGAATGGATACAAAAACAAGACCCATATATATGCTGTCTACAAGAGACCCACTTCAGACCTAGGGACACATACAGACTCAAAGTGAGGGGATGGAAAAAGATATTCCATGCAAATGGAAATCAAAAGAAAGCTGGAGTAGCAATTCTCATATGAGATAAAATAGACTTTAAAATAAAGAATGTTACAAGAGACAAGGAAGGACACTACATAATGATCAAGGGATCAATCCAAGAAGAAGATAAAACAATTATAAATATATATGCACCCAACATAGGAGCACCTCAATACACAAGGCAACGGCTAACAGCTATAAAAGAGGAAATCGACAGTAACACAATAACAGTGGGAGACTTTAACACCTCACTTACACCAATAGACAGATCATCCAAACAGAGAATTAATAAGGAAACACAAGCTTTAAATGACACAATAGACCAGAAAGATTTAATTGATATTTATAGGACATTCCATCCAAAACAGCAGATTACACTTTCTTCTCAAGTGCACACAGAACATTCTCCAGGATAGATCATATCTTGGGTCACAAACCAAGCCTCAGTAATTTAAGAAAATGGAAATCATATCAAGCATCTTTTCTGACCACAACACTATGAGATTAGAAATCAATTACAGGGAAAAAAACGTAAAAAACACACACATGGAGGCTAAACAATACATTACTAAATAACCAACAGATCACTGAAGAAATCAAACAGGAAATAAAAAACTACCTAAAGACAAATGACAATGAAAACACGATGATCCAAAACCTATGGGATGCAGCAAAAGCAGTTCTAAGAGGGAAGTTTATAGCAATACAATCCTACCTCAAGAAACAACAAACATCTCAAACAATCTAACTCTACACTTAAAACAACTAAAGAAAGAAGAACAAACAAAACCCAAAGTTAGTAGAAGGAAAGAAATATAATGATCAGAGCAGAAATAAATAAAATAGAAACAAAGAAAACAACAGCAAAGATCAATAAAACTAAAAGCTGGTTCTTTGAGGAGAGAAACAAAATTGATAAACCATTAGCCAGACTCATCAAGAAAAAGCAGGAGAGGACTCAAATCAATAAAATTAGAAATGAAAAAAGGAGAAGTTACAACAGACACTGCAGAAAGGCAAAGCATCCTAAGAGACTACTACAAGCAACTTTATGCCAATAAAATGGACAACCTGGAAGAAATAGACAAATTCTTAGAAAAGAATAACCTTCTAAGACTGAAGCAAGAAGAAATAGAAAATATGAACAGACCAATCACAAGTAATGAAATTGAAACTGTGATTAAAAATCTTCCAACAAACAAAAGTCCAGGACCAGATGGCTTCACAGGTGAATTCTATCAAACATTTAGAGAAGAGCTAACACCCATCCTTCTCAAACTCTTCCAAAAATCTGCAGAGGAAGGAAAACTCCCAAACTCATTCTATGAGGCCACCATCACCCTGATACCAAAACCAGACAAAGATACTACAAAAAAAGAAAATTACAGACCAATATCACTGATGAATATAGATGCAAAAATCCTCAAAAAATACTAGCAAACAGAATCCAACAACACATTAAAAGGATCATACACCATGATCAAGTGGGATTTATCCCAGGAATGCAAGGATTCCTCAATATATGCAAATGAATCAATGTGATACACCATATTAACAAACTGAAGAAAAACCATATGATCATCTCAATAGCTGCAGAAAAAGCTTTTGACAGAATTCAACACCCATTTATGATAAAAACTCTCCAGAAAGTGGGCATAGAGGGAACCTACCTCAACATAATAAAGACCATATATGACAACCTACAGCAAACATCATTCTCAATGGTGAAAAGCTGAAAGCATTTCCTCTAAGATCAGGAACAAGACAAGGATGTCCACTCTCACCACTATTATTCAACACAGTTTTGGAAGTCCTAGCCATGGCAATCAGAGAAGAAAAAGGAATAAAAGGAATACAAATTGGAAAAGAAGAAGTAAAACTGTCACTGTTTGCAGATGACATGATACTATACATAGAGAATCCTAAAGATGCCACCAGAAAACTACTATAGAGCTAATCAATGAATTTGGTAAAGTTGCAGAATACAAAATTAATGCACAGAAATCTCTTGCATTCCTATATGCTAACAATGAAAGATCAGAAAATTAAGGAAACACTTCCATTTACCATTGCAACAAAAAGAATAAAATACCTAGAAATAAACCTACCTAGGGAGACAAAAGACCTGTAGGAAGAAAACTATAAGACACTGATGAAAGAGATTAAAGATGATACAAACAGATGGAGAGATATACCATGTTCTTGGATTGGAAGAATCAATATTGTGAAAATGACTATACTACCCAAAGCAATCTACAGATTCAAAGCAATCCCTATCAAACTACTAATGGCATTTTTCACAGAACTAGAACAAAAAATCTTAAAATTTGTATGGAGACACAAAAGACCCCGAAGAGCCAAAGCGGTCTTGAGGAAAAAAAACGGAGCTGGAGGAATCTGACTCCCTGACTTCAGACTATACTACAAAGCTACAGTAATCAAGACAATATGGTACTGGCACAAAAACAGAAACACAGATCAATGGAACAGGATAGAAAGCCCAGAGATAAACCCATGCACCTATGGTCAACTAATCTATGACAAAGGAGGCAAGGATATACAATGGAGAAAAGACAGTCTCTTCAATAAGTGGTGCTGGGAAAACTGGACAGCTACATGTAAAAGAATGAAATTAGAACACTGCCTAACATCACACACAAAAATAAACTCAAAATGGATTAGAGACCTAAATGTAAGACCAGACACTATAACACTCTTAGAGGAAAACACAGAACACTCTTTGACATAAATCACAGGAAGATCTTTTTTGATCCACCTCCTAGAGTAATGGAAATAAAAACAAAAATAAACAAATGGGACCTAATGAAACTTAAAAACTTTTGCACAGCCAAGGGAACTACAAACAAGACGAAAAGAGAACCCTTAGAATGGGAGAAAATATTTGCAAATGAATCAACAGACAAAGGATTAATCTACAAAATATATAAACAGCTCATGCAGCTCAATATTAAAGAAACAAACAACCCAATCCAAAAATGGGCAGAAGACCTAAATAGACATTTCTCCAAAGAAGACATACAGATGGCCAAGAAGCACATGAAACATCACTAATTATTAGAGAAATGTAAATCAAAACTACAATGAGGTATCACCTCACACCAGTTAGAATGGGCATCATCAGAAAATCTACAAACAACAAATGCTGGAGAAGGTGTGGAGAAAAGGGAACCCTCTTGCACTGTTGGTGGGAATATAAATTGATACAGCCACTATGGAGAACAGTATGGAGGTTCCTTAAAAAACTAAAAATAGAATTACCGTATGACCCAGCAACCCCACTACTGGGCATATACCCAGAGAAAACCATAATTCAAAAAGACACATGTACCCCAATGTTCACTGCAGCACTATTTACAATAGCCAGGACATGGAAGCAACCTAAATGCCCATCGACAGACGAATGAATAAAGAAGATGTGGTACATATATACAATGGAATATTACTCAACCATAAAAAGGAACGAAATTGGGTCATTTGTAGAGACGTGGATGGATCTAGAGACTGTCATACAGAGTGAAGTAAGTCAGAAAGAGAAAAACAAATATCGTATATTAACGCATATATGTAGAACCTAGAAAAATGGTACAAACGAACCAGTTTGCAGGGCAGAAATTGAGACACAGATGTAGAGAAGAAACGTATGGACACCAAGGGGGGAAGTGGCGGGGGAGGGGTGGTGGTGGTGTGAGGAATTGGGAGATTGGGATTGACATATATATACTAATATGTATAAAATGGATAACTAATAAGAACCTGTGGTATAAAAAAATAAATTAAATTAAATTAAAAAAAAAAGCGAGGGGAAGTGAAGACAGAGATAAGAATACAGTGAGTAAGAAGGTAGGGACTTCCTGCAATTTAATACCAAGGGCAATATTTTAGTCCTGAGCCCCCTTCTGTGTTTTCCTTTTCTTCTTTTTTGCCAGCTGCTAGGACAGGCCTCCTTCATGGCTTTTCCCTGCCAATTCTTTCTACCTCCAACCGGGAAGTACAGCCACTGATCTACTGTAAAACAGAACTCAGTCCCACAGTTTTCTCACTACCTGCCTGCTCCTATGATGAACAGAACATCTTTCTGAGGTTTCCTAAATTTATTTTTGCTGAATCTCTTGAAAGTTACTTGTATACATCATAACACTTTACCCCAAATATATATTCTTCAAAGTGAAGAAACTTAATATCAGTACTATTAAATAAACGTATATAGACCATATTCAGATTTCCCTGACTTCCCCAAAAGGTTCTTTATAGCTTTCTTCTCCCAGATGAGGAGCCAATCAAGATTTACACACAGCACTGAGTTTCATGTATCTTCAGACTTTTTGTCTTCCATGATATTGCTATTTTCTAAGAGTCTGAACCAGCTGTTTTATAAAATATCTTTCAATTTGCATTTGTCTGATTGTTTCCTCACCTACAGAGTGTTCTTGCCAAAAATGATTAATCATGACTAGAATCAGGTTAAATATTTGGCAAGAGCAACATATAGGTGACATGTCGTTTACAATTCATCACATGACAGCAGTTTGTCCCATCGTGATAGGAGTCAGGACTTAGTAAAAGCAGTATCTCCCGGTTTCCTCTTTGTAATCAATAAGTAAACTGTGGATCAGATTGTGTGAATATTGTTCCCTAGTAGTTTTTCATCTAATGATTTTAACATCCATTGATGATTCTTTTTTTTTTTTTCATTGATGATTCTTGACTGGATTATAATTATAGCAGTTGTAAAGTCTAAACTTTTAAAAATTATTAAAAACAGTGAGATAATAGGCAAACTTGGGGGAAAAAATAATGGTGAATTATAATTCTTAAACTAAAACAAAAAACTCACAATAAAATTTACATCAGGTATTCTCTACAACAGTAATAAAATGCCAGTCAGAGAACTTTTTGTTATCATCAGCAAAGAAAACCTGCGCCAGAATGAAAATCAAAGCACTGCTTCCTTCACTGAGAATGTCTTACACAAAATAAAGTCAGCTGAACTAAACAGTTGTGCTTAATGACATTAACATTTGCATTCGGGTTCAAGCTCTACATCTCCTCAGAGCTGAGTAACAAACATTTCCTAGACAGGCAACTTGTCCAGGGGACCACATTGTGAAATATGCTTCTTCTCTCTATAACCATATTTCATCTTTCTTTTTAAACCCTACTCTCTCTACTTTTAATTCTAGGGCTGATGCTCCAAAGTCCTTCCTTCTATAACTAAGGTTCCCTATTGTATGCAATTTCTCTCTTTTCACTTAGACAAGGTAAGAGGAAATAAGGCCTCAAATGATAAGAGGTAATCTCTGAATTCTAAGTAAAAAAATCTAGGAGGGCATAATCTTTTCATGTATTCAGGAAAGAAGTAGACTCACTATCTATTTTTTCCCCCTTCTGCCCAACAGGGTATTATACGCACTTCTTCACCATGGTATGGGTGGGCAAGAAACAGAAGGGCACTAGAAATGAGCAGATAAAATTGCGAAGGGGAGAAGAGTAAAAAAATTGGGATTTACCCTGCTCTTCTACCTTCCCAACCTCCTGGCCTTCCTCCAAAGATCCCTCCAGAGGGGAGAAGTGGTGTCCCATTAGGGGCTGTATGACAGGGAAGGAAAATTCCAACCAATAGCTCTTTTGGTCACTCTCTAAGAAGCAATTCATATGCAAGGAATGTGTGTCTGTTGTGAACTACTTATATACCAACATCATGGCATAAGAATCCTTTAGGAGATTTAACTACAATCGGATTCTTTTAATCTCTCTCCCAACTGCCTATCATTAGCACAGTCTACAGCAGAAAGAGATTAATAGAAAACTAATTCTTTAATCTGCTCACTACTTTCTAATTCCTAAACACCTAAGCCATTTACAACAACCCCATTAGATCCCAAGAATTTCTTACCATTTTTGCTTTCCTTCAAAGTCAAAGAAGCTTGGTTTAGGAGTATTGCAATTTCCAACTTTGACCTAAATCAAGCGGGAGGGGGGTAAAATCAAGAACTTATTTTTCAAAGAAATGTCAGAGAAACTTCTAATTTTTAAATCTATTATGTATACTTCATAACTATAGGTTAGAAAATATCTGCATCATATAAAATAACAAAATTTAACATGCTTTGCAAAAGCAAACCGAAAAACAAACTTTAAATACAGGCTGCTTTGGCTTACTGCATAAAAAAACTGTTATCTAACAGTGTAATACATTATTAAAAAAAAGGGTGACAGTGCATTCCTAAATTCGTAGACAAATTATATATATGAAACAAATTATAAATATAGATTATGCAATCCTTATTACCATTTGTAATGTAGAAGAATTTTTAAACATGCAATAAAACAAGCTTTAAAGTACAGTTTATCAGAATTCATCATACCGTCTGTCTGTGTTGATTCTCATAACACTATCAGCATTTTATCTCTCTCAAATTCCAGGATAAAGCACACTATTTTTAACGTGCCCTATTATGAAACTAGTCAACATAAATTTAGATGCTAAAAGCCACACAAAAAAAATTTCAAGATTTCTCAATAATATAAATTCTAGTTATTCCACAATAGTCTTCTCTTGTTTGTGCTCAATACTTATTTTTAATCCTCAAACACTTGTAGTTAAACTACACAGTAATTATTTTCATTGTCAATAAGCATAAGTGAAATTCACACAACTGTAGAATTCACTACACAGCTCGATTCCCACCACCAGCAGTAATCTCCCTTTCTGATGAACCCTCACAGCACTTACTCTATACCTCTCTGATGGCACTTTTCACTTTTACCTTGTGTTAGCAAGGTTTGTGTAGTCTCATCTTGCTATTAGAATATAGCCTCTAAGAAACCATTCTTAAGTCGCTCATTGCACATAACATAGTGTCTAACTTAAGGCAGTAAAAAAATGTTTGTTGCATATAAAATGAATACATTAGGCATGTGTTCAACAAAATACCTATTTTCCCTAAAGCTAAATACCACAATCTGGACCCCATCTACTTCTCAAAGACCTTCCCACTACCTCCTTCTACTCTTACACACTTGCATTTTGCTAAAATCAAACTGATGGTCTACTCACTAACCAGACTGATCTACTCACTGCATTTAGAATTTTTATTCTATTTTGCTCATGTTATTTCCCTCACCTAAAAAGACTTCTCTTCTCTCAGCTTTTCAAAATGCTAAATCTCCTTGCAGTCCCACTCAAGGTTCAAATTCTAAGAACCCTTTCCATCTACAATGATCTCATCCATCTCTGAGCTCCTAACAACCATCATCTCTATCATTTGCTTAGCCATTAATCACATGGCCCTCTGGCTGTTATTAAAATGTACATTTACACAGGGGCAGCCCGGTCATGATGGGACGGGGGAAGAAATGATGAAAGATCAGGAGCTGCTTTTCTTGAACAATCACCATAAACCAAAAGTTTCACATATGTATGTCAAATGAGCCACACAACAATCCTGTTAGGCTTGCCATTACAAATTCATTCTATAAATGAGTACAGAGGAGCTCACACATGAGTAAATCTTGAATTAGGAGTCAAGACTTGACTCCAGGACTGTTAGACACCAAAGTCCAATATTACTCTACTATACAACACTCTTTTATATGCCACATAGAATCTAGGCTTCAGTTCTGGCATCTCTAAAATCACTTGAACTACTGTGTTAGAAATATGAAATGAGATAAACTACTAGGCATCATAAAAATAGCAGTTATTACTATTTGTGGTTTTTTTATTCAGACAACAGCCAGTGGCAGAAACAAATACCAGTATCTATCCTTCCTCTCTCTTATGGTAATAGAAGTCTCAGCCGGACACATGGTCATTGAGCTGAACATTACATGTGGCCATGCAACTTCTGCCCAGGTTCGGGGGGCTGGATGTATGTGAAAGTGATATAAATATCTTCCTTAAAAAGAAAGGAGGGGGCTTCCCTGGTGGTGCAGTGGTTGAGAGTCTGCCTGCCGATGCAGGGGACACGGGCTCATGCCCCCGTCTGGGAAGATCCCACATGCCGTGGAGCGTCTGGGCCCGTGAGCCATGGCCACTGAGCCTGCGTGTCCGGAGCCTGTGCTCCGCAACGGGAAAGGCCACAACAGTGAGAGGCCTGCATACCGGGGTGGGGCGGGGGGAAGAAAGGGGGGCTTGTTCTTCCCCTTCCCTCTGCCCTGGCTAGAACATGCGTATGGTGAGCTATCTCTGGCCATGGGAAGAGAATCTTTGGGCAGCAGTTCACAAACCTTTTGGTCTCATAATCCCTTTACACTCTTAGAAACTGATCCCCCCAAAGAGCTTTTGTTTACGTGGGTTATATCTATCAATATTTACCAGATTAGAAATAAAATTTTAAAATATGTATTAATTTAAAAATAATAAACTCATTACATGTTAACATAAATAACAAAATTTTATGAAAAATATACATTTTAAAGCAAAAAAAATTTAGTGAGAAAAGTGACAGTGTTTTACAATTTGCAAATCTCTTTACTGTCTGCCTTAATAGAAGGCAGGTGTATTCTACTTCTGCATTCAATATATTGCAGTATATGCTGTTTTGGTTGAAGTAAATGAAGAAAATTCAACTTCACAGAGATATGTTGTTAGAAAAGAAAAGTACTTTAGTAGCATTTTCAGATAATTGTGGCTACTCGTCTTTGATATCACACCAAAACTAAACAAGTGGCAGTTTCTTTAAGGTTAATTGCAATGTGGAATCTGAAGTGATACCAACAAATTTTTCACACTGTTACATTAAAATCCATTGGTCTGACCTGCACTTTCAATGTATCTTTTATCCACACATAATTTGTAACCTCATTCCCTGAAATATTTGAAAAAACAGTTCACTGAGTTCCGCAGATCTTCCAAATGACACAATTCATTATACATACAATACCGGAAGTTCACAATCATTAAAACCTCCACTAATCTTATCAAAAACGTTTTTCAGTATTCAGGAAGCTGTCAAGATCGGGTGGCAGATACAGATTTTCCAAACTTAATTTTCACTTGAAGGCTCAAATGTTGTCACTGGCAACAAATACTGTCAGTTGTTTTCCTTGAAGTGACAGGCTGACTTCACTCATTTTCAAGGAACTGTATGCCAAATGCTCAAATCTGAATAAGCATAGTTTATCAGTGAGTTGCTCTGCTAAGTAAAAATCATGTTTCATGTGGGTAGCTCAACTTGCAACCAAAAATTACACAGGTGTTTTTCCTCAAAACAACCAACATAATTCAGTATGCAGGAGAAGTATTTTGTGTGTACCCCCATTTCATCACACACAATAGTAAAAAGATGTGTACTCAAGAGTTAATACTGAATAAAAATCAATAATTTTCACTGCTTCATCAAAGACATTTTAAAGTGAAACTGGCCTTTTTTTTTTTTTTTTTAACTCAGAGTACATAGTGGTTAAAAAAAAATAACTACCAGTACAGTCTGCTGCCACTGCCTTGATTCATGCTAACACATCAGCAGTTTTATCTGCCATGACAGCACAGAAAAAAGGCAAATACAAGCATATCTCGTTTTACTGCACTTTGCTTCATTGTGCTTTGCAGACACTGCGTTTTTCACAAATTAAAGGTTTGTGGACACCCTGTATCAAACAAGTCTATCGGCACCATTCTTCCAATAGCATTTGCTCACTTCATGTCCCTGGGTTACATTTTGCTAATTCTCCCAGTATTTCAAACCCTCCACTAGCGAAAAGATTATGAGTCACTGAAGGCTCAGATGATGGTTAGCATTTTTTAGCAATAAAGTATTTTTTAATTGAGGTATATACATTTTTTAGACATAACACTTTTGCACACTTAATGGACTACAGTATAGTATAAACATAACTTTTATATGCATTGGGAAATCAAAACATTCGCCTGACTCACTTTATTGTGCTATTTGCTTTATTGCAGTGGTCTACAACTGAACCCTTGATATCTCTGAGGTATGCCTGTAGTGTCTTGGTATTATTATGAAAATAGTTTTGACTTTATATTCTGTGAAAGTCTGAGGGATTATCAGGGGACCATAGTTTGAGAACTGCTGCCTTGAGGGATGGCTGAACTACAAGACAGACAAAGACTAAGCCCCTGGATGATCACATGAAACAGAAGCACCCTATCAGCCCTAGATCACCTACCTCCAGACCATTATGTGAGATGAAAATAAAAGTTCAGCAGCTGACCCAGTATCCTCACTGATATAGAAGCTTTTGTATTCCCAAATTCAAAGAATAGTTCTGGATCCACAAAGACTGGGAAAATAAAACTACAGGATTTTAGGACATCGTAAGTAACAGTTTCCAAATCAGGGATGATGAATCCTAAGCTATGAAACAGTTATAAAATGCAGCACTTTAACAGAGCATCATCTAAACTCTGTTCTCTCTGATATATGTATGATATATCAGTGCCCCTGAAACAGAGTATTTCAACAAAGTTTGACAATGGTAAATGCCAGGGAATCAAGTGTACCCAGGTTAAAGTAGGAGGACATGCTGAGTATCCCCACCTGTGCTAATGCTGAAGGTTCCTCAACAGGAGCTTCAAATTTTCATTGTCCTCTAGTTTCACAGGTGTCAATTAGTTATCTTTTGCTGGGAGAGTGCAGGCTAATGCATGGAGGACCAAAAAAACCCTGTTAATTGGTGTGATCTTTCTGAAACTTCACTAAAAGATAATTGTGCAGCCATAGGCTTATCCAAGACTAAAAGAGCTATTATGTTATGTTAGGGCTCTGCCTGATATATTTTAAAGCAAAAAAAATTTAGTGAGAAAAGTGACAGTGTTTTACAATTTGCAAATCTCTTTACTGTCTGCCTTAATAGAAGGCAGGTGCCTTCTATTAAGTAAGGTTCACATCTCAGCTTATTTTCAGCCTCTTCCTGCTGACAAAATAGAGTGCTATTTGGAAAAGAAAATGTAATTATTTTATGATAAAGGTTGATTTTATGAGAAATGTAATTATTTTATGAGAAATTCTGATCCACCATACAGGAATTATACTGGACTTTCAACTTTGTTATTCTATCAAAGATGCTATTTTTAATACTGCCACAGAATTCTGATAAAAACAAGATATTTAGAAGAGATTGATAAACACTGTGTGCCCTAACATATCTAAGTAAGCATAATCTTATTCTCTAATTCTCTAATAATTATTCTCCAATAACGAGGAATTTTATTTCCAGAAACAGAATATCTCTAACCACACTAATGTCAAGAGGGTGAGGAACACACGCCTCTTCCAGACTATCTGGATGAAGTATATTTGAGACAGATGGTTGCCAGCTGACAGGTGACTATAGTTCACTGATGACTCGAATATCAGATATTTAATAATGATGATGCTAATATCAATAAATATATGTCATAGAAAGAAAAACAATGTTTTTAGGAAATTTGGAGAAAATTAGTCTTATACTGCTCAGAGAATCATCAGTCAGCCATGTTACTGGTCCAAGCGCAATGCTCAATAAATTCTTGTTAAATAACTGAAAGTCTCATTTTAATGTTATTAGGACAGGATAAATGACCAAAGAGAAAACAGATATCCAGGACTTCTGCATGAAAACAAATTCTGAGGCCAATTCAGGCATATTTTCATTCAACACTATAATTTATACCATTTGTTCCTACCAGCTATATCTCTCAGGTCACTTTAACAGATATTCATGAATCTTCAAAAGAAGGTTCATCTCTACTTAGTATATTCAGTTTAAGAATACAGAGGGTCCCCACAACTTTTTTTTTTTAAAAGAATACAGGGGGAAACAGATACCAAGAGGCATAAAATGGGCTGTTATCCAGAACTTCATTCCTTCCAGTGTTCCAAAGAGCTGGAGTTTTCCTGAACTGTTATTTAACTCTCATGAGCGATTTTTCACATGTTTAAATCTAAACACCTCAAGTAACTTTATAAGTCTCTTGATGGCAAGTGTCATGATGCTTTTGCTTCTCTGCATCCCCCACAGGCATAACACCCAAGTGTTTTGCCATAAAAGATGCTGAACAAGTATTTGTCGATTATGATAAAGCAATTATTTTTCTAACCCAATTACTCTTTAAGGATAAATTAAAGATGTCTCATATGACATTATTATTATTATTTCCATACTTCCAGGTAATCTTTGAAGCCTTAGAGTCAGGAGCTACAATCTCGTTCTAGTTCTCTATGACCCTAGGCAAGTTATCTACTCTCTCCGGGTTTCCTTATTCCTAAGAGAAGGGCATTATTTCATCTGGTGTTTTCTAGCTCTAAAATTTTCATAACTGTATCTAACACAAGCATATTCAGCCAAAACATAAGTCTAAGATATTTAGGGTTAAAAAAAAAATCACAATAATAAAAGTAGTAATACTTTACTTTGCATTGCATCACCCTCTTTATTACAATCATATTATTCTCAGAAATGTTTTTTTAACATTACTACGTTTACTTCCAAACGACCCTCTGGCAAGAGTGAACGATAAATCTTGTTTTGTAAATGTTCTGAAGCTGGTGAAAGCGTAAGTGCAAGGCCACTAAGCAAGTCAGAGAAGACACAGAAAAACTGTCATTCAGGGTCAGCTAAATATCACTCCTCGGATAGCAGACAGGTCCTTTCCGTGTCCAGAATGATGCTAATCCTTAGCAGATGATTAAAAAACAACACACACACACATACAAACTTCATTACACCTAACCATTAATCAAGCACGTTTACTATCTGTTTTTTGGAGGAAAGAGAAGGCCTGTGGTCGCTCTCCCGCATCCACCCCTTCCCTGCGACTTTACCTGCTTGTACCGGGCATACAGGTACAAGAGCTGCTCCCTGCTGGCTCCTTGAACCAGGCCTCGGAAGTGCGCGGCAGCCTTCTCAAACAGCTCTGTCAGCCTCCTGGACGCCTCGGTCTCCGGGCTCTGGAGGGATTCCATATCCACGGAGTCGTCCCCCGAGCTCAGCTCTCCGCCGCTGTCGCCCGTAGTGGCTCCCGCAAGCAGGAATGGCGAAGCCATGTGACCGCCCGTCTTCTTCAGACGGGGTGTGACGCCGGCTTGGGGTCCTGGCCCACCAGTCTCGGTCTTGAGCCAGAGCTCAAGTCGGACCCAAGCTCACTTCCTCGCGCTCCTCGCTTAACTGTGCCTCCCTCTCTCCCCCTGCCCTCCCTAGGCGTGCGTGACGGGCTCCGCCTCCCTCTGCAGCTCTCCCCCGCTGCCCGGCCTCTTCCGGTACCCCTGGCTAACAGCGCGCTCCGAATAGGTCAGGTCCCTGCAGCAGCGCGGCGGGGTTCTGCGAGCAGCACAGCAGGAAGTCCTGGAAAGAAGGAGGCGGGGCGGCGTGGGCGCGGGGCGGCGTCAGCGGCAGAGCACGCGCCCGGAGCTGCGGCCGGCGGCCTCTTTCTCACTGGGCGGGGGAAGCGTGGGTGGCCCTTCTTTGAGAACCGCCGCTATGTTGCGGGATGCATGCGACCGCGCTGGGGGAACGCTGCTTGGAGAAACAGTCCTCAGTTGTTGAGGAGTCTGTTAATCGTTTCGTTGAAAATACTGGGCCATCGTGGGTGGGGGAAGGAGGCCGTCTATTTGGTAGTGTAGCGATAGAAGCGGAGTTGTGGGAAACTTGGAGCTGAGGACGAAGGTTCCGCCTGCGCCCGCCTTCCAAGGTTAGGTGTCCCGAGCGCCCCAAATGGGCCTCGGATACCTGCATCCGTTGCTGGAGAGTTTGGTTCTAACTTGAATAGTGAATGGAAATTTGGGAGATGGGGCCTTCAGCGCCCAAATTGTGTGATTGGTCCAATCCGTGTCTTGCTTTGCATGCGTCCGTGACCCCCATCTCGCTGAACTTTATGGGACCCCACCCACACCCCAGGGCCCTTAGCGCGGTGCTTCTTCCCAGCTCAGCCTTTGCCACTGTGCTTTGGCAGACCTTGAAAAGTGAAAACAAAAATGTACTACATAGTTCTGCCCTGGACGAACTCAGAAAACTGCAGCAACTATAACGTGATTGTGATAGTGTCAAAGAAAATAGTCAATAACCAATCTGTAATAGGAGTAGAGGAGAGGACTTCCCTGGTGGCACAGTGCTTAAGAATCTGCCTAACAATGCAGGGACACGGGTTCGAGCCCTGGTCCGGGAAGATCCCACATACCACGGAGCAACTAAGCCCTTGCGCCACAACTACTGAAGCCGACGCGCCTAGAGCCCATGCTCCGCAACAAAAGAAGCCACCGCAATGAGAAGCCTGCACACCAAAACAAAGACCCAATGCAGCCAAAGATAAATAAATTTAAAAAGAATAGAGGAGAGTTTTATTTGAGCCAAACTGAGGACTATAGTCCAGGAGTTAGCCTCTCGGTAGCTCTGAGGAACTGCTCTGGAGAAGCATGGTTTATCAGCGCAATTTTATGTTCTTTCAGAAGAAAGAACATCAAACCTGATAAGAGTACATTCCTTCAAAGTTAAAAACAAACAAAAAAAACAGATTAGCTTGTACACGGCAAGTTAGTATGGCTTTGGCACCGAGGAAAGGAGCCTTATCATCAAAGGAGTACTAGCATTGATGTCCCAGAAAGGGAGACTTTTATCTCTGTCTTCAGAAGGGACGTTCTTTACTTCTGGACAGTGCACTCTTTTCTTTATTGATTAGAGCAGATATACAATGCATGTTGATGGGCTACAAGGCAGGCTGTTCTAGATAGCATAAAGTTCAAGCTAAATCAACGTATAAGCTAGAGTGACTTCCCCATACCTCAATATCTGAAAATTTCTTCCATCAATAGTTAAGTTTTACTGAGTGGTTATTATGTCCTAAGTGTTGTTAAAAACAACAACAACAACATTATATTCATTTAGTTCTCAAAACACTGTAATAAGAACCATCAGAATGGTACAAAGAAAGTGTTCTAAAGAATGGTTATTCACTGTTTGGGGTTAGGCTTTAGATAGGTGGACAGGGGAGAAGGGGTAAACAGGGTGAGAGAACAAAGAAAAAAGGCAGGAAGATGAGAAACCTTGGATCAGGATTCAACAAACATTCCTTGAGTATCCCAAATGTACCACTGTTAGTCCCTGCTCTCAGGGCACTCATGGTCCAGTCAAAGGATGGCTGATGAACAAAGTCTTGTAATTAAAAAGTGATAATAGTAACTTATTGATTCCCTTACTGTTTAAGGGAGTTAATTCTTACTGCTTAAGGTAGGTACAGTTATTTCCAGTTGAGACAGGAAATTAACACAGAGTGGTTAGGTAACTTGCCCAAGGCTGCACAGTTAATAAGTAGAGAAACAAGGGAAAAATCAAAGTTGTAAGTTGTTTTAGTCAGAAATTAGCCTGCATATGGTGTAATGATAGATGATGAATCTGAAAAGTAGACTGAAGGGAAGGTACATGGACATTTATATATCTCTGTGGAATTTTTATTAGAAATGGGAATTAAGTATTATCAACAGTTTTTTCGGCAGCCCTGGAGATTATGTTTTTTCTACTTTAATCTTTTAAAGGAAATATTAATAAAGTTTCTACTTCAATGAATTATATGAACAATGATATTAATAATTAATAGGAACTTAATGAATTATATTAACAAACACTAATAAATTAATATAAATTTTAATGTGTTATGTTAATAGATTTCCTAATGTTGAATTACACTTCTATTCCTGGAATAAACTCACTGTGGTCTTGGTCCTGCTTTTTTGTTTGTTTGTTTTTTAATTATTTCTAGGTTCAGTTTGCTAATATTTTCTTTAGTATCTCTACAGCCCTATTTAAAGATGACTGACAGTTTTCCTTTTTGTTCTGTCCTTTCTCAATTTTGTGTCAGGGTAATAGTAGACCTGTAGAATATATTTAGAAGTTTTCACCTTTTTCTGTATTCTGCAACAGTATAAATAACATGGGAATAGAGCAAGCACAAATCTCATGGCTGGTGGGAGTGTAAATTGATACAACCACTTTGGGAAAATGTTTGGTACTATTTACTAAAGGTAAACATGACCAATTCTACTTCTACCCAGCAAGCATGTAATATATGCATTCATCCAAAGACACGTATAAGAACATTCACAGCAGCACTATTCCTGATCTCCCCAAACTGGAAACACCCAAATAGCCATCAACAGTAATAACAATAAACTGTAGTGTGTTTACACAACAGAATACTATTCAGCAGCAAGAATGAACTAATTTACAATCAGACACAACATATGAATGAACCTCATAAACATAATGTAGAGCCCAGGAAACCTGACAACAAAGAGCTAATTCTGTACATTTCCATTCATATACAGCTCAAAGTCAGGCAAAATGAATCTATGATGTTAGAAGTCAGGATAGTGAGTAGTCATGGGGTTAGTAATCTGAAGGGTGCATAAAGGGGGCTTCTGGGTGTTGGCGATGTTCTCTTTCTTGAGCTGAATTCTGGTTGCACAAGTGTGTTCACTTTATGAAAATTCACTTAAAAATTTTGTACTTTTCTGTATATAAATTATATCTGAATGAAAAATTTAAGAACAAAAAAAAAGAAAGAAAGAAAGAAAGAGCTCCTGATATTCAGAAGCTGGTCTAGTACTCACAGCTAAGCCATATTATTCTCCTATTAGATAGACATAATCTCATGAAATACCAACCTCAGACAAGGTTACTCTGAGACCATGATAAAATGAGACAAAGTAAAGCACTTCAGAAGTTTGCCTAAGCATAGACAAAAAAAGATCACTCTGCCAACCACAAAGTACCACAAGATACCCTTTCTCTTGGCCACAATGAGTGATTATTACTTATTTACAAATTATAGCTTTATTCTCATTCTAGTCTTCCCTCTGTATAGATGAGACTGAGATGCCCAATCATAAATTGCCCCAGCTGCCTGACAGCATCCAATAAGAGCAAATCCCCAATTCCTTAGATTTCTCCCTCAAGTCACCAAGCAAAGCCCAAATCCTATAATAGTTTACTTCTTAACACCTTACTGAGACAGCCCATTGTTCTCCATTTATGTGTTCTTCCTCACTATAGTAAATCCAACTTGGTTACAGGAGCCTGAAGAGCATTAAAGTCTGAGAACGTTTGATTTGTTGACGATTCAATTAAAACACCCAAACTATCAGGATCTGATGACTTAGAGGGAAGAGAGCTTTTACAATCAGTGTTTCCATTCAAGCATTTCTTGGGAACTGTAGGAAACTGTATATGTTTTTCTGAATCTCAAGAAAAAATCAGCTGAGAAATCAGGAAGACAGGAGAAAATATTAGGATTAGAATAAAAGCTTAAACAATCAGAATTCAAGTTTGACAATCAACATAGAGAAGGTACTGATTCAAAGGGATCCACTGACAAGTCAAAAGCAATAGCAGGATATTGTTAACACCTGGAGTCCAAAGTGAGCCAGGGAAAGGAGCAGGCAGGAGAAAATCTAATCAAGATCTAATCAGTCTTCCAGAGTTGCCATTTTACACATGTGTTCGTTGCGCCTGCTGATAACAGTGCAAATGAAATAAATATTAATAAGATTATATGCATAGGCTACTTCATACAGATTCTGTGAGTGATGTTCTGAGAAATAAGTTCTAGAAAAATAAGTTCTAGAAGCAAAATAAGTCCTTAAACTGGTAGCTTCTTTAAGTGATGCTGAGTAGTGCTGTTACCTTTGCTAAGAGACCTGAATGTTATGTTACTAGAGTACTACCCAACATTGTTTGCCAGCATTTTCCAGTGTTTGTATTCACCAAAGGCTACAGTTCTTTATAAGTACTTTCACAGAGGAAATGCAAAAAGAAGATGTGGATGTTTTTGTGAAATACTCCAACACAACATCCTGAAGGGACCTGAAATCTGAATTACCAGAAGTCACATCTGTCTCAATGGCAAAACCAAAGTCTAGGCAAGCAGAAAAAATAGTTTTGTTAAAAATACCTGGATTGAATTTAGTACAATTCACGTTTTGTGACATATTGGCATTTTTTTACATTGCCATCAAAATATTCATTGATATGTTAACTCCCAATATGTTTCAGACACAGTACTAAGCCCTAGGATACTAGGATGAATGTGATTACTTTTCCCCTCTCTCACTCTACTCCAGTTACATGGGCCTCATGTGGCTTCTCTACAAACCAGGCATAATCCAGAATACTCCCATCTTAGTGCCTTTTCACTTGCTAGTCCCTCTTTCTGGAACACTTTATCCTCAGATATCTACATACATGATTTGCCCTCACCTCCTTCAGGTCTTTGCTCACATGACACATTAGTCAAAACTTCTCTGACCACCTGTTAAAAATCACAACCCCATCCTCACCATCACTCTCTATCTCCCTTCTTCAGCACTTATCTCCAGGT